CTGGCAAGGCTTGAGGATCTGGGGATCGAACAACAGCATCCTGAGCCTGACTGCTTAAACAGATCAGTCACTTAAACAACTGAGCTAATGGGCAGGCACCCTGAAGGTTATGGGGTTTTTTTTGGCAGAATCGGGGATTGAACTCAGATCCTTGCGTTTGCCAGTCAAGTGCTTATCCTACTGAACCATCTCCCCGGCCCATTTTTATATTATTTTTTTAAAAATCCTTTTTATCCCTTCCTGGGTGGATGGTCATTTGGGTTGTTTCCATGATTAGCTATTACAAATTGCACTGCTATAAACATGGGTGCACATATACTGCTCTGGTATAACATTTTTAATTATTTTGGGAAGATACCCAGAAGGGGAACAGTTCAGACAAACGAGACCTACAATCCTAGTTTTTTAAGAAATGAGGGCCAGTCAACTAGTTCAACAGATTAAAGTACCTGCAAACAGGTTCAGGGGTTGGGGATCGATCCCCAGTCCTGCCTTGGTGGCCCGGTGTACTGAGCTGGCAACTGAAACGGCGTGGTGGGGTCCACCTGAAATCCCAGCTCTTGGGAGGCTGTAAACAGGCGGATCACAAATCGGATCTAGTAGTGAGACCCTGAACACCCTGTAGACCCTTCCCTAAAATTTTTTTTTAAAAAAGATTTTTTTTTTAAAAAAATTTATGTGTGTGTGTGTGGCCAACTCAGCCCATCAGGGGGCGGGGCTGGCTGGCATGTGGTGCTGGGGATTGAACCGTGGTCCCTTTGCTTTGCTAAGCTTGTTCTAAGTAGGTGCTTTAGACCACTGAGCCATCTCACCAGCCCCTAAAAAAGATTTTTTACATGCCTAAAAAATAAAAATTAGATCAGACCCAGCTTATATACTAGATCATATCAATTTATATGCTTTGGGGGAAAAAATCCTTTTATGAACTTTTCATTAAGGCATACATGATTGACATACCTTAAATGAAAGTTTCCCCTTCCTTAGTAATCTCAGTATAAAGAAATAAAATGTTTCACTACATCTAGATTTGGGATCTTTTGCTTTTCAGAAAGTATGCTCTTTTTTTTTTTCTTCCCCAGTATCAGGGATTGAACTCAGGACCCTGCACTTGCCAGGCAAGCACTTATTCTACTGAGCTATCTCCCTGGCCCAAAAAGTATAGCACTGAACACAGTAGCTCAGGCCTATAATACCAACATTTGGGTGTGTGAGGCAGGAAAATCACTGTGACACTGAGGTCAGCTTGAGCTACCTGTCTCCAAAAAAAACCTAAAGGCTGCTTCCACAAAGCTGTCAGCCTCAGGTTGCTGTAGTTTGATCCCTACAACACTCCAGCCAGGCAAAACTGCCCAGAAGGCATTTGAGGAGAAAAAAAAAAAAAAATCCTAGGGGCCCAGGAGATGGCTCAGTAGAGTAAGTGCTTGCCTGGCAAGTGCAAGGGTCTGAGTTCAATCCCCGGTTCCGCAAAAAAAAAAAAAAAAAGCTACAAATATGGTGCCAAAAGTGGCTGGGAGCTTGGGTGCTGCAGTTGTAGCCTGCAAATAGCCTTGGAGCCCTCACCACCCTCTGATAAGACCAGTGCAGCTCTGCTTATGGTAGATAACAACAGAAAGCAATAATAGAATAGTAGGAATCAGCAACTTTGCACTGCAAGGTATGGGAGATGTTACTTACTGTAGTCTGCCTGAAGTTGGACAAACCTGAAAAACCAAAATGAGTTTGCTGCTTTGGAAGTGTGAAAGCTGCCAGTGAACTACTTTTCTCTGTTAGAAGTACCTAAAAGTAGTGAAGCATTTGTAGAATATCAAGGGCTTGTCCACAAATTTTGCTATGAAGATAGTTAGTTGAGCAAGAGGACAGTGAGGGATCCTTCAAAACTAAATGAGCTCATGAGTGAAGAAGGATATAAGACAGGTGAAATCAGCAAAGTTGCTGATTTCTACTGCTCCATTACCGTTTTCTGTTCTTATCCATTGTTGTTCTTCTGTGAATTTAAACACTGTGAGCAGAGATGGCCCAGTCACATAAGGAAGAATGCCAAGGGCCCCAAGGCTGCAGGGTGCAGCACTCCTCAGTCAGAGGAATAAAGCGGTACCCAAAATAAACTAGTGCAAAGTGCCTTCTTCAAACACAATTGTCTGCCATTAGTGGTGGACATTAGGCCTGAAATAATAACTTTTTAGCAGTGCTAATGGCAAAAAAAACCCCAAAAAACCCTACTCTCAACACTGCTCCTGGATGAAAATACCCCTTAACTCCCTAGTGACTGCAGATAAACACAATGTGCATCTTTTTTATGTAGGCCTTATGATTTTTATTTTCATTGAAGACAGTCTTGCTGAATAGTGCAGGCTATCCTTGAAGTCATCATGTAGCTCAGGCTGATCTGGAACTCAAGGTGATTCTCCTGCCTCAGCCTCCAGAGTGCTGGGATTATAGGTGTGTGCCACAACACCCAGCTCTACCTTAAGAATTTTATTTTTTTTATTTTTTTTACAAGACAACATTTTAATGAAAATTCAGTGGTGGATATGTATAATCCAGGGGCTAGTTACAAGGCACTGTCATAGAAATGTAAAGCTGACTAGATAGATGCTCAGATAATTGTTACATATTCTCATCATCTGATTCATCTTCTTCCTTCAGTGATTCCTTAGCGTATTTCTCTGCTTCTTCCCTT